AGAAGAAAATTAAACTTATATGAGTAAGCAACCTGGGTCAATATTACGGATGAGGATAACACAAATAAAAGATAAGATGTTGTGATAACTGTCCGGAAGAGGAAACTGACATTACCGGTTTTCTGTTTAAATGGGATTTTCCAAGTTGCAGTTTCCTTGTCAAAAATCGCTGACTGGATTTTAGTTTTTAAATTTTAACAAGTCGTATTTGCTTTCATTTCCACTTGAATCGATCTTAAATATAAGATTATATCGTTACAGAGTACAAGAGCGCGATTTTCAGTTAAGAGAAAAAGGCACTTAACAAGGAAGAAGAGTCAGTAAAAACATTGAAGGACTGAACAGAAGGCATGCTGTTTCTAACCTCACCCTGTACAATAAATAGTCTCTATTTCGATGCATACAATACCATGTAATTCAATAGTCATTACAAAAGAACGTTTACAAACTGTTTCATACTTGCCTACAAAATGTCTTTAGAGCTCAGATTCCACATGTACCTAAACACCCACCCTTAAACTGAAATGAGAAGAAAATATCAGTTCGTATCAAGACACATGAAGTTCTGACACTGTTAAGTCCGTTTCATCCATATGTATCGTTACAATTTTGTTTAGCATGTGCATCTATTTTAAGTTGTCCAAATCCTCTTTCTAAGAAACTCATCATACCACTATATTCCAAGAAAGAAAGTAAAACTAGTGAAAAAGAAATGTTTTAATACAATTGAGAAAGAATGCCGTTTTTCTGTTTCTGAATACGGTTGTGGTGGTGTTTATAATTTTTTACGTAGCTTTAACAATTTTTCAGTCATATCGCTACGCTGTCTTCAGTGTGACAGTTTATAGTGATGTCCAGCACTGGGGCATCATGCCGCAGACATGTAGCATGATGTCCTACCCAGTCACATTATCCTGACACCAGACCGACCAATCCTAACACTAACCTCTTAATGCTGAGCGTCAAGCGAGGCATCTGTTAGTACCATTTTTGTAAGTCATTGGTATCACTCGACCGAGAAACGAACCCACGACCTCTCGCATTCGAGGAAGACGCTCTAACCACTAGGCCACCGGAGCGGTTCTGAATACGAAATGTTTATGTAATCGAGAGAATAATGCATTAAACCTTACTATCGGAAAAGTCTAGGTTATAATAAATTTCTAAAAGTATTTAATATAGAAATATCACTCAGGTGAGGAATCAGGGAAAATGTATATATTATACTTGCAAAAGAAGGACATGTGTTTTTTCTCTTATTTATTTTCTCTTCTTTTTGTATTTGTCCATCAGCTGAAAAACGTACAACAACATAATTCTATCTATGGCGATTCCTTTTATGACAATAGAGTTCTTTTTATCTATTATATTAAATGTTTCATGATCTTGACAAATTTCATTTCTGTGCCGGTTAGGCGTGAGGCTGTCCATTGCACACTTGCTGAATTAAAATAACTTTATTATTGCTGTACGGTATACATAATGAATTACGGAGTACACAGTTGACGTAACTATTGATTACCTATCTCTTTAATTTAAATTAGAAGCTCTGCTTTACGTTATAATCCCTGGCATGTAATTCTTTACAAATATGTTGTACTCGTAGAATGTAAACCAGAAAAGAAGATTCTGAACGAATTATTATGAAAATGCTCAGCTGCGTTTATCAACAACCTTCATTTCTACAGTGTGCAGATCTAAATATCCACCTTGATTTACACTGTAAACTGATATTGAGTTGTGTTGTAAAAGGAACTCTGTTGGAGTCAAAAGTTGCAAATTCCAGATAACTAATGGTACAAGTCCGGATCTGTTTTAAAACCGAGTACATGATTTATAATGATCCACCCTTTCCTCTTCAGCAGGACACATTTTATCAATGCCGACAAGTTTGGTTTTTGTTGCTTTTTTAAATTGGTAAAGAAAGGATACAAAACTCAGCACCTTGTACAAAATATATGTATAAGGCAACAATGCTTGACGAATTTAATCAGATCAATACCAATGACTTTTTGGACCATTATTTTACTAATATATTGATAAATTACTAGGCACCGTAGCGGACGAAAGCTGATCCAATGAGAAAGTTGCAGTTTAATTTTTCGTTGTCGTATGTCGAGAATTCCAATATCACCTGTTGGTTCATATTGCATGTCATTAAAGTTCAATTTTCTAGTTGGAGATTTTAGATTTTATATGTTGAATTATACAGTGGTGGTTTAAAGTTATATTTCCTATGTGGATGTTTTACAGTTTATAATTTGAATTACACAAGCTGTGGTTGCATTTTCAATATCATAGGTCGAGAATCCCTAACTTAAACGTTATACGCAACTGTTTAACGTGGCGAGTATCTAGACTGGACTAGCTTTCGTCCCCTACAGCGTTGCATAATAGATGTGCGTAGCTAGTGGAAAATAATCCGTTATTACCCCAGGAAAATCCAGCCCAATCGGGTAAGAAAACATTACGCAAAGGTCTACAGTTGCCCTCATTTGCAGTGTGGACACTCTACTAGTCGGGCCTAACACTTAAAGCTGGTAACGTTAATTAGTATTAACACCTTGGTTTTCCTATTTGTGTGCGTGTTACGGTGTTGGTTTCCCTCTTCCACTCCTAAAGTCTTTTGCATTTGTGTTTTAAAATAATATAAATTTTGTCAGGGTTGCTCTTGGTTTTGTTCGTCAAATCTTGTAAGTTTATTTATTCCCAAAACCAGTTAGGTCGGTACTCCCTTCTTTTTGCCTTGGCTGGCATTGAGCCTGGTTTCTCTCCTTATCTTGTTTGAACTATAGAACTGTACTCCCTCCCCCAAAGTTCAAAAGGTAAATGGGGTTGGGGTCTTTCTTTTGCCCAATAGTATTATATATTTATGAGTGATTTGCCAAGTCCTATAGTCCATTTCATAATTTAATGTTGTAAATGTTATTGTATTGTTATGGACTGCACTATCTAGATCCAATATATTAGTTGTATATTCCTTATTTATTCCTATTCTAAAATTTCAATAAATATATTCAAAAACAAAGAAAAACCTATTTTAAAATAATTTGGTTTTTTCAATGTGTTTGCATGAATGTGTTTTGTGTCTTTGTTTTTAGTTTTTTAAGCCTTGGCATACTTTTTTCAAGCTATTGCTTTTCATTTCTTGTTTTTATGAAAGAAAAACTTTTCTTGTATATTTTTAATTTATGGTGTTTGTGTGATTTTGTTTGCTTTTAGTTTAATTTTATTTTATAAACTTCTGGTGCTTTATAGGCAAGCACTTAGCTATTCCAGACTAAATGAAATTTTAAATTTATAAGTCAAAATTCATTCAGTTTCTTCAAATTTTGCTTTTAGCGTAGCAAACTAAAATCTGTTTAGCCTTCACTTTTATAAATTTTTCAGTATTTTGATACATTTTTATTTTTTTAAGTAAACATTTTGCACCAATATATCAATCTTTTGTGTAAAATAAGTACCATAGCATAGAGTCTCATTATCTAAATCACATATCAATGTTATTTAAACGGTTTAAATACACCAAATTTTGCTACATCCCTGTCTAAATCTAGATGTGTCATATATATATATATATATATATATATATATATATATATATATATATATATATATATATATATATATATATATATATATATATATATATATATATATATATATATATATATATATATATATATATATATTAAAACGTATAGCTAAAGACTTCTAAGTATTCTTTAGAGATAGCAACTTAAAATATTTTTCTAATTTTTTCACATTATAATCTATCCTAGTTTTAATTTCAAAAATCATTTAGTAAAAATTTATAAATTAAGTATCGTAGCATATGCTGTTCATCCAAGTTTAAATTCATTAATCTTATCATTGACTTTATAAAGGTCAATCATTTAATTATTGCAGATTGTGTGTAAGTTTGAGAATTATGTCATGGAGTCATTCATTCATTTCGCTCACTGGAACCCAGAAGCGCTGAAAATGTAGGAACGTCTGTAGTTTCTCTTGTTGGACACCAACGTGGGGTTCCGTCCCACGGTCCGCTTGTCAAAATGCTAAATTTCGCATGGGTGTGACTTGATGCTGCAGTACAAGACTTCTCTATAAACTGACACAATGCAGACATCACAGCGATATGGCTGAAAAATTATAAAGCTGTGTTAAAAATCCGAATCACACACACACACACGCTTAATTCTTTCGTTACCTTTATTTCCCCTATTCACGCATGAAATGGTATCCCTTTATATTATGTTCTCGTTCCCACCCTATTTTCTATGCCATCGCTTGCTGTTTTAAACGTCTGCTCTCCGGCTTTGCTTTTTTTTAAATATTTGTATTATACTGTCACAGTGCTTTTAGGTGACTTGGATACTAACGTCGGAAATACTGGTGGTCTTTTGAGTATGAACTTAATTGCCATCATAAATAATATCAACGGAACAAACCTTAGGTTTATTAAAGATATAATAAACAATTTACGACGTATTGATTCTCGTTGAAATGTTCATGTTTTATAGAAGTTGTGTTATAATTGCTGATGCATTAAAAACATCGGCTATAGAAACTTTGGCTTTTGAGAAATATCAAGCAAAATTAAGAGCATGCCCTTAGAAATGGTTTGGGAAGTAATGTAACAGTTTCAACGCCCGTACATTAGAGTTAGATGCTGAATCGGGCAAGTCAACTGTATAAAATATAATGCAAGACCGGATTAAGTCCATGTGTGTGTGTGTGTGTGTGTGTGTGTGTGTGTGATTTTGATTTGCAACGTAGCTTTAACAGTTTTTCAGTCATATCGCTACGATGATGTCTGCATTGTAGCAGTTTATAGTGATGTCTAGCACTGGGGGGGGGCATCATGCCCGCAGACATGTAGCATGATTTCCCAACCGGTCACATTATCCAGACACTATGCCAACCAGTCCTAACACTAATCTCTTAATGCTGAGTGTCTAGCGACACAGCTGTTAGTACCATGTTTGGGCCTCTTTTTGTGATTTGGCTGTGGTTCGAACTCGCTACCTCCCGCATTCGAGGCGGACGCTCTAACCACTTAGGCTACCGAAGCGGTCCAATTTTGAAATTTTAATTATCCTTCGGTAAGAAATCTAGCGCTGTAATGCTGATCAGAAATACTCGTAGGAAAGACACCACTTTCATGGATTACATTTATCAGAAAATAAAACTGTTCGTACTAAATCAGCATTACACGTGTTGAATAACGGTATAATCACTAGAACTAGATTTCGCCAACATAACACAATATCAAAATAATACAGTAGAAAGTTTAAATTGCAAATCAAATGATAAAGACACACTCTTGTTCTTTGTACAGGACAAGCACCTCTGTTTCAGATTGTCGAGTTAGTACCTAACGTGCAGAATAAAATGAACCACTAGCGTAGTCATACCGTTGAAGCTGCGTTCCACTTTCGTTATAAGTGGGCAGGGGCCAGTTTTTATGTACAAATTTAATGCCGCAATCAGTGACCTAGAACAAAAAAATCATAAAAAATACATAAGTGAGGTGGTCAAGAATGTCCATATTTTGAGATACCTATATTAAAACAAAGCATAAAAATAGTATCCACTTGACCAGGGACGCCAGTGGCAATTGATAACGGAAGAAGTTTATGCACCCCAACCCCAAATTTATACCTGCAATTTTCATGTCCAAAGGTCATTTTTTACACCACGTGGTGATCACAGTGAAAACACAAACCCTTTTCCTAGATGACAATCTGTAAAACAGGGTGTACTAAACAAGATGAAGCAGTTGAAAATAGTTGTCATCCAAGCCGTTTTTGAGATATTCTCCTTGCCCCAAGCCCAATTTTACTATCAACATATTGCAGAGTTACTTCAGAATGAGCACATGCCTGACATCAATTTCAAGAATAACACGAGGCCGAAACGCCTAGTTCACGAATATATCCCTATCTTAATTAGTAGACAATAATTGCCGAAAAAGTCACCCCGTAGCCTAAGAAATTTGCCAGGGGCCAAATTACGAAACTGTACCCTACTACCTGAGCAGATTGCCCATCCTTTTACGGGAGTTTCGCACCGTATCTCGGAACACTATCTAGATGGCGGGCGGCAGTAATGATAACGTTTGTCTTCATGTTTGAGACAGTCAACTAGTCTCTCTCTCTCTCTCTCTCTCTCTCTCTCTCTCTCTCTCTCTCTCTCTCTCTCTCTCTCTCTCTCTCTCTCTCTCTCTCTCTCTCTTCGGCCCTGGGTTCGAGTCTAGGGCTCAGCCAATGTATGTGAGAAAGCTTGCTGGTAGCTTCTCGTGCGTCGGTGGTTCTTTCCGGGTTTATCCTCTACCATTTAAACTGACTGCCATGTATAGCCTATCTTGTGCTGACAAATAGTGTTAAACTCTAGGACAGCAGCAGCAAAAGCAACAACTCTGCGGCTCTGCCCATTGCTTGAACAGCTGTCTTGCCTGCATTTCGTTTTATTCTCAGTGGACTGAGCATCGTCCAGACTGACAGGCTGGAAACCCTCTACAACCAACCAAGCTTTCGATCCTCTGCCCCTGCCAGACTCTACCAACTCCTGGCATTCGACCTCTTTCTCTCGTGCGCCTCTTCCGTCCTCTCTTCTCTGGACACAGCAAGTTCCACCGTGATCATTTTCTTAGCAGTTTGTGACCAGACTTAATGAACGACATCCTGAAATATTAGTTTCCTACCCAAATATAAATACCGATTAACTGTTTCCAATGTGATGTTACCGTGTACACAGGAAAAACTATTTTGTACAGTTTGTTTTGAAACCAAGTTTTCGCTGACTCTATTCTTCACGGTATACGTTAATTTTTTTCATTAAGACACGCTGTTATATAACTGTATTTGATAGGATACTACTTCTGGTAGATGCAAAAAAAAAATGTTTAAAAAACAATTCTTAATGAAAGCAAACTTTGTGCGATTTATGTCCGAATAATCTGTGATGAATTTTCATACCTCTCTTTTTACTGGCTACATAAACCATTAATCGTTTGAAAAAAAACAATATATGCACACTTGGCATTCAAGTGATCTTTTAATTCCTTAAAAACGAAATTTGTCAGATCGCTAATAAAAAACTAACCTGCTTAACAAGTATGTCACCAAAGCTTAGAACAATTTTAACAAAGTTCTATGCAGCCAATAACAGGATTTAAACTGAAACCGTAAGACTTACAAAGTTTGTACACATGTGAAGAAAAAAAATGAATTAATTATGCACCTCACGTGATATAGCTGATATATTTTACCATGTGTGTATCAATGTCAATATTTTGGAAATAAGGAAACAACAGACGAGTATATTAAAATATATATTAGAACATGCAAATGCAATTAACTGATGAATGACACAAATATTAAGTAATGTTTAGGTTAAATAACCGATAGAACAGCCCGTTCCCAAATAAACTCGTAATAAATACTTATGTTAACCTTAAGTTACATTTTATGATATAAGGACAAAATATTGATAAAATATCTATATAAAATTCGCTTCTCTTTATTTCCTTTCTTTACCTGCTATATGTACAACAACCGTTAAAACTTTGTTTTCAGTTTAAACACTTGTGTCTATTCTTAAACTCAAGTTAGTATTATACCATATTCTCACATTTAAATGGATCCAAATGCAGGCTGCACAAACACAGATCTGCAGGCGCATTATGCGCCAGCAGACCTGGGTCTGTACAGTTTGCCATTTGTAATCATTGGAAAAAAAAACAATATAGACCCTGATCCGCAGGCGCATTATGATAAGACATATCAATATCTTTGTTGTTTACAATTTGAATTGACTTATAAGCGAGTACATATGGTAGTTCTATTTCGGGTCCTAGTTATTGTCCTACACATTGATAAGCAAGTAACAGCTGCGGCCTAATCTTTACGGATAGAACCGAAAACAATATAAGACGGAAAATCGGGAATCACGTGCTACTGTAAACAGCAGCAGATGGTAATACTTGTGGCTGTTGACCCAGAGTGAAAAGTTTCACCTTGTCCTCTGGTAAGTCTTTGCTGGTACGTTAGGCGGCCGAGTAGATATTCCCCCTGCCAGCTGTGAAGGCAGATGGCAAGGGCTGTATGGACAGTATAGGAATCATCCCAGGTGGGTAGTAACTGATGCATCTGTACTTATCTCCAAACACCCCAACACTATTGTGCCATAGGGTTGAGACAGGCCTGAATGAGAGAAAGATGGCACCGTGCCATGACACTAAATAAATAACAAGCAACATTCAAATTAGCCCGACTTGGTCTGAAACAATTATTTTGGGCCCTTAGTATACTCGTACTTCTCCTCTTCATCCTCTTATTTTTCTTCTTGATACTTTCTTCTTTTTCAAGCTTATCATTCCATCTTCTAATTTTCTCATTTTCCTCTAGAGCCTCCTATTTCATCTTTTTCCTCCTTGATAAGCTCCCTCAATACGTCAATCAAGAATAATTATCATCTAAACTGAGGGTAGCGATCACAGTACTGGTCGGCCTGGTGTCAGGATAATGTGACTGGGTAGGACATCACCCTACATGTCTGCTGCAGGATATTCCAGAGCTAAACATCACTATAAACTGCCACACTGCAGATATGAATGCGATATGACTACAAAATTGTTAAAGCTACGTTAAAAGTCCAACACACACACACACACACACACACACACACACACACACACACACACACACACACTGAAACAGAAAATATTATTTTCGGCACTAATGCAGGCCATTTTAGATGCACATAATTTCTTTTGTTGTCTCGCATATCTGTAACGACTGTCAAAGAAACGAGTTACAGGCGCCATAGAAGCATGAGTTGAGGTACTATGTTCATCAGGATATTAATGGAAAGAGTGCTATGTTTTTTGGAGTCGTTTTTATTTTATACTTCTGTTTTATCATCAGTCATTAATGTATTATATTTCAGTTTCATCATTCAGTTATCAACTGGTTACATCATGCTTCTGTTTCATCATCAGTCATCAATGTATTTATTATATTTCAGTTTCATTATCATTTATCAGTTGGTTATGTTATATTTAAGTTACATTATCAGTCATCAACGGGTTATATTATATTTCAGTACATCATGCTTCAGTTTCGTCATCAGTCATCAATGAGTTATATTATGCTTCAACTGCATCAGCAGTCATCAGTGTGTTATATTATACTTTTGTTTCGTCATCAGTCATCAATGAGTTATATTATGCTTCAACTGCATCAGCAGTCATCAGTGTGTTATATTATACTTTTGTTTCGTCATCAGTCATCAATGAGTTATACTATGCTTCAACTGCATCAGCAGTCATCAGTGTGTTATATTATACTTTTGTTTCGTCATCAGTCATCAATGAGTTATACTATGCTTCAACTGCATCAGCAGTCATCAGTGTGTTATATTATACTTTTGTTTCGTCATCAGTCATCAATGAGTTATATTATGTTTCAACTGCATCAGCAGTCATCAGTGTGTTATATTATACTTTTGTTTCGTCATCAGTCATAGTTTGGTTATATTATATTTGATTTTCATCATCAGTCTTCAATGGGTTATGTTATATTTCAGTTTCATTATCAGTCATCAATGGGTTATATTATGCTTGAATTTTATAATCAGTCATTAATAGACACAAGGCTATTATTCCTTGAAGTCGTTTTTATGCTGTGGTTCAGATTCATCATCAGTCATTATGTAGTACACGGGTAAAGGTCTAAAAAAACTAAATGTATGGACGCAAATGTTTTGTCATACAAATAGAGAGTTAAAAACATCCTTGCTTTGTATAATTCAGACTGTTTTACATTTAACTTGATAGAGGCAATGCATATGACCGCAAATTCCCAATTTCCATAACATCTGCTATGATTTGCTTGCACATTTCATGCTTTGAAAATCGATGAAACGTCGTATGAAATTGATGGCAAAATTAAACTGCAGGAAAAGAAGCAAAAAGATGGAAGAAAGCATTAATCGGTCGTTACGAACATGTGTTACATTGTGTAGGTCTATTCATATATCACATTGCATATGTATATTGATTACCATTGT